GTTCCACAGAATTTAAGAATGTAGTAGAGAAATTGGATACTAATTGGGCTCAACACCAAATGTTTATGAAAGGAAATGATCAAGAAACTTGAGAATCTTTTTACTAAAAAAAAAAAAAGAAACCAACCCAAAACTAAAAAGCACTGCTGAGTGCTGGAAGCTGAAGGGAAGTTTATGTGGGGTGGTTTTTTGGCAACATGGGCCTACGCAGGTGACCGACAAATTATTCCTTTTTAATGGTAACCTAAAAATCTTTTTTATAAGTTACTGCACTTCAACGTTTAGAGTTCTTACCTTTCTTAACATTGTGTTTGGTAATTTTCTGATCTTCTGGACGTGCTCAGGGTTAACACCCAGCTCATGGCAACTCACTCGGAGCAGTTCCTTATAGGTCAGCTCTTGTCTGTCCAGTTCAATTTCAATGAAGTCATTTTCTCGAAGATTAGGGTTTTGTATTCTAACTTTAAGCACCAGTTCTACTGGAAATAAAAAGGTACATGAACAGGCAGATGTATAAAGGAATTGTAAAAGATCTAACTTCCACATGTTTCTATGTTCTATTAACCTTGTTTGTATAATCTGTAGCAATACAAGAACCCTCCGAAAGCAAACAACTGGACTTGTATGACCACAGTGTTCATTAGATTGACTTTCATCAATCTATACGAAAAAATCATTACAAATCTAATACAGTGTGTGCGTAGGCATGTATAAACCTTTGCGTGAGTACTCATCTTACTGGATTTAAGCTAACTTAAAAGCAGATTATACTGGTTATCCATTTCCTGAGCAATCCAAGATGGCTTTTATTGTTTTTCCATTCTCTTAGTCCTCAGTTAACTTCTCATTGCTAACTCATGGCATCAGAACACTTTTTACTTCAAGAATGAAATTCTGAACTGAAACTGAAATTCCAGATTTCCCTCTTTAGGCTGGCAAAATTTACCCACAGAAGTGGCAGATCCTGTAACTGTTCACCTCCAGGCTCGGGTCTGCAGGTGGAGCCGTGTGAGGTTCTCTCCTGAGCTCACTGGCTGCCTACTCACAGGCTTTATTTGAAGCTTGGAATATGCTGTTTAGAGAACTGGATCACCCTGGTGTCTGTATGCTTGCAAAGCATTTGAGACAAATGGTGAATGTTTTCATCAATATTTTAATAACAATGCCAGCAGAAAAAAGATATCTGCCTCTTTAATTCCCTTCAGCTGTTTCCGGAATGCCTAAGCCCAGGAACCTGAAAAACCTCTAGAAGCGGAGTGAATACCTGTAACCCTGGTTAGTCCACTTTCACTGTCCAAGGTGACAGAAGTCCTAAGACAAAGCGAGAAGAGACTGTTACTGTTACCTTGCATATTAAGTGGAAAAGCTCCTGTGAAGAAAACGGGCTGGAACGCTGGCACAGGCCCCACGCAGGAGCCGTTCTCCTGGGGTAGGGACTGATCGGGTCCGACGGGCGGTGGGGGGGTTCTGCCCCAAGACACGGAGCCCTGGTAGAGCGGACCTCTCTGCAGGACGGGCTTTGCGCGCGGCGGCGCGGTGCCGGCTCCGGGCAGTGATGGCGTGGGGCCGGCCTTGTTCCCGTGCCGCCATGGGGCACGTGCGTGAGTCTCCACGTCGGGCGAGGAGGAACAGTCGGCGTCTTGCGATTCCAAGCGTGAGATACTCCCGTTCACGGCGGGATCTGCAGTGCTGTCGCTCGCGGTGTTATAAACATAAGGGAAGGGTGGGTTAGCCAGATAGTTAGGGATGATTGGCAGGTCTGAATCTTTCGTTAAGTCTGGGAGTTCATCGTCTTCGACTGTAAAACAAACAACACAACATGCTCCAAGGCTGATCTGAGGGGAAAAAAAGAAGTATTGCTATTGCACTGTGGGGTGGTTTTTCTTTTCATGGGGAGGGCATGGAGTGTCAAAAGCATCACAGGCTAAAAGATGAATCAAGAATCACAGAATAGTAGGGGTTGGAAGGGCCCTCTGTGGGTCATCTAGTCCAACCCTCCTGCTGCCGCAGGAAGCACTATTCCTTTTTCCTACAGTAAACAGAACCGTGCTCAGGTGTTGCAATGCAGCAAACACAAAAGCAGAGTCTGACTCCAGTAATTCTGGGGGTGCTAGTTCCTTCTAAACACTGCAGCACTCTTGGTTTGGGTCAATCCATAGGCAGCATGTTGTAACATGGTCTCTGGTGGCACAACGCTACCGTCTTCATGATGTATAAGGCAATGAAAAACAAAGGGTAGTATGTTGTTCGATATTAAGGCGGGGGATAAAGGGAAAAGAACACGCAGTACTGGGAGAGCTGAAACATTACCAATTCAACAGCTGGGAGACAATAACGAAAACAAAAACAGACAAGGGAATGCAAAGGGGAGGAAAGACGTTGTTAATCAAGCACATTTCAAATTACTTACCACCTCTAGCAGCAAAGCCAACTCCGCTCCAACAGTTACAAAAGACGATAAAAATGCTCTACAAATGTCCTTTAATGAGCTGTTTCTCTGGGCTGCTAATTGTCCATTTATTTAACAGTGTCTAAGCTCCATAGAACATCAGGAAAATTAGGTGTTGCTCAAGGGCTTCATGCAAATTCGAGAGATTTTCTCCTGTTGCCCTTTTGAAAAAACGAAGCTGCATCTGTCTGTCACTGGTTTAATCGTGGCATTTTTCACAATACGGTTGTCGTAATTTTTCAGTGTTTAGAAAAAAGTTTGGCTAGCTGCATGTGGCATTTGCTGGTAATCCTCTTTTCTTACCAAGTAAACACTCCAGAAACCAAGTCAGAGTTACTGCTAAAACCCAAGCACGGTATCTTCACATTCAAAATAAGGACTGGAACATAGGGGCTTTAAACAGCCTTTTACAACTACGCTCTGTGACGACCCTACCGCACAGCCAACAGGTTTACCTCCCAGCATCTTCCTTATCTCGCTCTTTGACGTCAGCTGGGCCGGCCTTTCGCCCTTCTTGGTGAGGATCTCCTTGTCGGCACCGGCATGCAGCAGGTAAGCCACCACTGGCGCATGGTTCCGTTTACATGCCCAGTGCAAACAAGTCCTGCACATGGAAAATGTTAACACTGTTTGAAATAGTAAATTATGGCAGATTGATGTCCACTTGTCCCCGCTGCCTATGAGAAGAACGAGACCGAATGCGTGTCTAACAGAACAAGGTTTTAACTGCAGTCTTCCTTGGAAGTTTGCACTGGTTCTGGAGCCTGCAGTGACACCTGCTGATGTAGTTCTCCCTTGCGCTGATGCTCTTGATACCAAGTTACCACAATAGTATTTTCAAAGTGCAAGATCTTTTCCATTTGTCATTTATTAGGCTACTAACTTTTCTAGAAAAATAAATGTAAAAAAGAAGGCTTGTGTATGCTATTTTCATCTTTGAAAGAATAAGCTGTACTTAAAATACTTGTCTGGGTATATGTGAGCTAACGGAGATACTTCCCTAGGATGCTATTTCTGCTCTTTGATGAATGCTGTCAGCACAATGACTTGCACTTTTTGGAAAGTAAATGATATTTAAAATACTGTAAGCAGAGTCTGTACGCACAGTTCTTTGCCCAGGTGCTATTTGCTGCACCAGCAATTCCCCAGCTCTGATCTGCAGACAACTGGTATTCTGCAATCCGCAACCGATGCACAGAACTAACCGCTTCTCTATTTGTTCTAATTATTATTTGCAGTTGCTGACCTAGAGGGACTAATAAAGAAACATCCTAAAAGCTACTGAGCTTATTTAGTGCCTAGCATTAGGGACTTTAAGTAGACTCACACATTATAACTCGCTGTACAGTCTTACCATTTTTCCCTATCCCAGGTTCTAGTGATGTTTGACCTTTCTCCAGCTTTTATTTTTTAATTATCTAGCTCCAGTTGAAGGAAACTCTTTGGAAAGATGAACAGAACTCTTCTCCAAGTCTGTTTGTTTGTTAATAATTAAATAAAATAAAACAGAGATAAATAACAAACTTATAAGGGGGGAAAATTTCAGTTGAAAGTCCACCTCCAAAAAGCTTTTTCCACTTTTTAAGAGGCACGGTCATTGGACTGCAAAGTCACATCGCTACCAATAACCCCAACTTTGTATACAAAATTCTGTTCTTTTAACTTCTGCTGTGTAAAAGAGTGTAAGGGAGAAAGGAAATGATCTAGCCTTTGGAGGGACACAAATCAGATAAAACCAAGAGAAGACAAGGCCACTTGCAAAACCTCGTTCATTGTTCTACATTCCGAGTTAACTAAAGCTCTCTTACCAGAAAGAAAAGGCTCAATTCTACAATTTCTTCATACTAGTCAGTAGGCACTGCAGCACGAGGTTATGTAGAATTAGATCTAATTGTAGAGGCATGAATATAAGTGTACGTATATATATTGTTTTTCTTCATAGACTATCCTAGGAAGGGTGCTACACAATCCGTGTCTCGGAGGTGATATTGCTAACAACAGAGTAAAATCCTGCATTCTCTCACCAAGGTTGGGCTATGTAGAAAGTGCCATTTTTGAATGGGATAAAAGTATTTTGTCAGCAGAGTATTCCTGAATTGTTAACGCCAAAGAGCCCACAGAATCCGAGACAAGCTCCGTGAAACTCAGACCAGGTTGGCTCAGTTTTTCTGTGCAGCGTTTTCTGGACTCCTCACAATTATCTCCACGTGCAATGAGCGTGAAGGGCCTGCACGAACTGAGAAGCAGCGCGCTGCCAGGTCACAAACTGCTTTGGACCAAAGCTGGGGGGGCAAGCGCAGCCAGTGTGGCCGTGTTTGCTTCAAGTGCAAAACCGCAGGCTGAGTCTGTAGAGAAGGGGTGTGATCCTCGAGAGCTTCGCCTCGCTGGGGGATCCACCCCGGCCGTCTCGCGTGGGCTCATGCAGGCGGGTACCAGCTACCCCACGGGCATCAAAACCTAAACACTCGGCACCCCTTAGCGTCGGGGACACTGAGAAGGGCACTGGAGAAATTTAAATTCTACAAGCAAACTTAAATAACAGTGAAGATCCACTTACTGCCACAGTTAAATATGACTGGTCATTATTTTAAAAATTAGTTACACTTTATGACAGTTTTCTTTCATCAGTTCCAGTTCTGGATACAAACTCCGTGGCGTGGCAGCGGCTGTTTGTCTCGCACAGTAAGATCACTCCACGTCTTACGAATCAGTTGCCCTAAATTCTCACGAGTTCAAATTTTAATCACCGCGCTCTGAACCCCAGGCTGCACGGTCCCACGCTCCTCAAAGCTGCCGACCAAA